CCATTAAAATAGGACGACGCACTGAGAAACGCTGGGGCATCATATTCAAATGCATGACGACAAGTTGTATACATCTTGATCTCTTAGAGAGCATGGACACAGATGCCTTTCTGATGGCTTTACGAAGATTTGTATCACGTCGGGGAAAGCCATTTGAGATACTGGCGGATAGGGGGACAAATTTCAGGGGAGGAGCCACTGAATTGCAAGAAGCTTTTACAGCGTTAGAAGCTTCACTTAAAGAACAGTTAGCTGGTCAGGAAATTACATTTCAGTTTAATCCGCCACATGCCCCGCATTTTGGTGGTACCTGGGAGCGAGAGATACGGTCTGTCAAAACAGCTCTTCAGGTAGTCCTAGGCAATCGAACTGTGACTGAGTCCGTTTTACGTACAGTGCTGGTAGAGGTTGAGGGAATCATCAACTCCAAGCCACTCGGGTATGTTTCCTCGGATGTAGCTGATCCAGACCCAGTCACACCCAATCTATTGCTGATGGGCCGTCGCGATGCATCACTCCCACAAGCGATCTACTCCTCTAGTGATCTGTTAGGTAGAAGGAGGTGGCGACATAGTCAAATTTTGGCTGATCATTTTTGGGTAAACTTTGTACGGCATTACTTACCAGGCCTACAGACACGCCAAAAATGGCAAAGGGACACCGGCAATTTAACTATTGGACAGATCGTCATGATAGTTGATCCACAGTTGCCACGAGCTTCATGGCCTATTGGTAAAGTGATTAAGACATATGCTGGTGTAGATCATTGCGTACGTACTGCAGAAGTGCAAGTAAAAGAGCGAACTTATCTTCGGCCTGTCGCCCGGTTAGTTAAGTTACCATCATGGGAAGATGAGGAAGGAAACAATTAGCCTTGAGACTTTCCCTAGACTAATTACAAATTTATCTAGTAAATTTGGGGGCGGCTTTGTAGGAAAGTCCTATACAGGGTTACAGTTCTTATGAGTATACCCTAGATGGCGCACCTCTCTAATTTGACCGACATTCACTACTTTCGCTTTCAAGAGCAAGCACATGGCAAAAATCACTTGTGAGGCACGGTGAGAAGGCAAACATCTATCCTGTGTGCGTTCATGCCAAGAAAGTAAGTTTATTTACTGATTCCCACCAAAAATATGGGTAATACTTATGTTAATACTGTTGTAACAATATCTGTAATGTTGTATTTCACCTTTAATGCATATATTTGCATAATCTTATGTTATATGTTAATCTGTGTTGGGAAGCTAATATGCTAGTCCAAACTATTTATGCCATAGTATGTTTCCTTGTTGGATTAATGTATATATTTTGACACATGGTGTAATGTTGAGTCATTTCTAAACACTACAGTTTGACAGTGAATTTATTCCTATACCTAAAGATTATTTTCTGTTGTAATCTAAATGGAAATGTTTGACTGTTATTTGTTAATTGCTAAACCTGTAATATTTTATTGATACTTAATTTGTTCTATTTTATGTTCCAGACCACACACACACACACACACACGTACTCACTCATTAAAGCTATTTTTGGATGAAACTCTCCGAGCCCTTTACTCTCTTACCGGAGTCTCCAGTTTTCAAGGACTATCAGAACATTCCAGAGGTTCCACCTCAACACCGACCAATCACAGAGCTTGCGCTATGCGTCGTTGCAACATGCAGTTCTTATTTTCAGAGGTGAAATGAATGACCTCCGGCTACTTTGACGCTCTCGATGCTTTCAGAGTGAACGTACGGTTAGAGGAGTGAGATTTACCTGCAGCATTCACTAGCTGACTTCCGTTACATTTGTTTATAATTAATCAGTACTTTTGGTTTGTTTTTCTTCATGTTCTCCTGCTTATTTTGGGGGGTTACACACACACACACACACACATATATATATATATATAATTATATATAATTGGACAGGCTAAATTGTCCATAATGTATGAATGTGAATGAGTGTTTCCCAAAGATGGGTTGCAGCTGGAAGGGCATCCACTGTGTAAAACATATGCTGGATAAGTTGGGGGTTTATTCCCTGATTAATAAAGGGACTAATCCGACAAGAAAATGAATGACTGCTTGTGATGAGAGCACTGTTTTTTCTCTTCAGAAGATCTCTTTGACATGAGGAGCCTAAAAGGTATGACAACAAGAAAAGATCTCTTTGAAGCTGTATCAGCTGCCATTGAAAACATGAATCTTCCGTGGGCCAGGCTATGTGGCGTTACAAGGCATGGGCACCTGATATGATTGGCGAGCGCAATGGAATGGCCTCCATGTTATGCAACAAAGTACGGCGGTGTGGAGGTGAGGCTGTGAAAACGCACTGCATTGCACACCTGTGCCAAAACCAGCTGGGTGATGAGATGACCACGGTGGTAAAAACTATACACTTTATCTGTGTGGGAGCGCTCAACCACAGAGAATTTGGGGCATTTCTATCTGAAATGAATGCAGAATACGGCGACATCATATAACGTGCGGTGGCTGAGTCTATTCATCTATATATGAGTCTATATATGCATTTGTTTATTCATTTTGCTGATGTCTGTCTTCAATTTACATTACAAAATAGTGGTTCAGCACACATAACATTCTTGATTATTTTTATTTCACATTTAAGATGTGAAAATATATGGACATCACAAATTTAGCCTGATACTTATATTTTAAAGATCTGAAAATATGCCAGATGCACAGTACATCCATGTAAAATATTTGAAAAAGGGCATTTATAATATAAAATTCATTCATTTTCTTTTCAGCTTAGTCCCTTTATTAATTCCACAGCAGAATGAACCGCTAACTTATCCAACATATGTTTTACACAGCGGATGCCCTTCAAACTGCAACCCAATACTGGGAAACACTCATACACACTCATACACTACAGACAATTTTAGCCGGCCCAATTCCCCTATAGCGCATGTGTTTGGACTGTGGGGGAAACTGGAGCAACCGGAGGAAACCCACACCAACACGGGGAGAACTTGCAAACTCCACACAGAAACACCAACTGACCCAGCCGAGACTCAAACCAGCGACCTTCTTGCTGTGAGGCAACAGCACTGCCTACTGCGCCACTGCGTCGCCATAATATTACATAACGGCTGTAAAGAAGAGTGAAAGGACGAACCGAGTTCATGTTTTTATTCATCTCCAGGTGTTTTCAGAGCATTCTTGCAAAACTGAAAGCGCCCGGGGCGAAAACAGCCCACGACCCTCTGAAATGTACATGTATACGGTATATTATATAACATCATTATTACCTTCATGTTTTGGAGGAAGTGCTAAGCTGATGCTCATGTATGTAGTGGGGGATTAGAATGACTCAAGACTAAACATGATCAAGTCATGCTGTGTAGTGTGTATACGCTTGTTTTCAGAGATGATATAATCATTAAACACCACTGAAGTGGAGCGGGTCAGACACCAGTGCAGCTTTTATTCTTTCTGGAACTTCTGTCTGATTCTTGCTCCTACACATGAATCAAGTCAAGACGAGCTTTACTGTCATTCAGCTGCATGTGTGGACAAACAGAGGAATGAAATGTCATGTCTTGCAGGACAGCGGCGCTACATAGATTAATCATCAATACAAGCACAACACTGGACAGAAGAGCTATCTAAAAAACACCTATGCATAACTACCATAAGATATTTAACTATACATGTAAGACAGACTTTACAAGTACTTTTACATGAGACTGAACAATGCTGTGCAAGAGATTGTGCCAGAGAGCTATGGAAGGTGAATATTCTGCAAAAGAGGTTTAAATGAAGAGTAATTTAAGGCTGAAGCGAGCAGTGCAGCATGACTGTGGTACACTTATAGTAAACATCATTTTCCCTATTCCGAGTCCTTGTAAGACACAGTTTGGATAAAGTGTCAGCTGCATAAGAGAGAAGAGTGTTTTTACAGGTGGTTTGTCAAGCCCACTCACCTGAATAAAGCACAATTTGAAGTGCACAATGTTAACAAGAGACATGGAGTGATTAAGAAGGTGTCTACAGTGCAAATGTGCAACCTATAGTGCAAATGTCAGAGAGATGAGAGGGTGTCTTTAGGTAATTTCTACAGGTGGTTTGTTATTAATCAGGGGTCACCCCAGTGGAATGAACCGCCAACTATTCCAGCATATGTTTTACACAGCAAATGCACTTCCAGCTGCAACCCAGTAATGGGAAACACCCATACACACTCACACACACACACACACTCATACACTACGACAAATTTAGTACAACAATTCTTCTTTGTGAAGTTCCTTTATTCACTAATGTGGAGAGGATCATGTGCTCATGATTGCCTGCGGCCCCACATTATCCAATTCATGATTGACCAATCAGACGATTCCTAATCGACTATAAACACCCTCAGCTCCATATCACAGCCATGTTCGTTTTAAAGAATCCCCCTTCCACCCCTACTCCTCCTGCTTTCCTAGATGGTAACCCATCTGGTAACTTCTGTTCCCTTCTCCTTCTTCATTGTTTAATTGAAGTTAAAGACTGAACTGAAGTGTATCACACCACTGTTACAAGTTCAAGGCACAGAGCAGTAGGCAAACACACCTGAGCAGCAGCGAAGCAGAATCACATAAACACATCAGCAGAACTCTATTTTCCCAATTATCTAATGGAGGACACATATTTGGAGAGGCCTGGCCATAATGCTTTGGAGAGGTGTCAACCTAACATCTTTTCATAGTTTATACATAAAATGAAAGCCTCAGCTTAGTTTGCATTGATCATTATGCAAGGATCATATGCAGTCGGCGTATTTTTAAGTATATTAATTATGTTAAGCTGAGTGTGACCCTGCTACTACGAGAAATCAGCTGAATGGATAGTCCAGGTCCACTGTTTAACTCTAGGAGATTTGTATTGAGCCGATAATGAGGTTCCTTGAAGTCAGCATACACCTGCTTTCATCCAACACTATATTTATAGATCAGTGAAACAAGTTAATGCCTGTCTGTGTACAGTACATGTGGCATGCAAACCCCAGAAGGCTGTCCCCTATACTGTACTGTTTGATTGTCATGTTAGGCTATAAGCGCTCTACAGGTGTGGCTTTAGTCAATAAAGCTCCTGTACTTCAGGAATGCTTTCAGAGACCCTTTCAGCTCCTCCAGGAGACAGCAGAAGCAGCTCTGACCATCTTCAGCTCTCCACGAGAAGCACAGGTAAGCAGGTGCACCCCACACATGTATTACTGCATTTAGAGAGATCCAGACTGTGGATTTAACTTGAGTTTTCTCTGACCCAGTGGTACAAGCTGACGTCATCACGCTAAAAAATGTTTTGTTTCTCTATCCAAACATAGACAGCATGTCTAAAAAAAGGCTCTAATTCCCCCTGGTGCAGCTGCGGTACATACAGCAGCAGAGTTTCTTGATTATTAAAGTATAGTTTTAGACATATCAGCTTGGAACAATATCCAATTTTCATTTTCTGTCTTACACCATGCAATGACAGAATATTTCAGCAGCGAATCAGAGCGCAAGATCAGAAACTGAAGAGATTCATCTCTGAGCGAGTTCATACTTTAAGTGAAAAGGGAAGATAAAGAGGCCGGCTGTGATTTCTCTCGGCTCAGACCGCTCTTGTCTGGTCCGGTTTATGGGCAGCTTTTTGCCCATACAAATCCAGACATGGGGCGACACCACAGTTGGGTTTTGTCGACGCTAGTTGTTCGTCATCTACTTGGTATGTCCCAGACCTTAAAGCAAGATGCTAATGGTGTATTCAGATTCAATGATCTAGGTAAAAGAAACTCAGAATGGGTTTAGGATGGTTTACTCAACTGTTTACCCTAGTGGAGTTGTAAAATCTGCCTTTTCCTAAAAAAAGTTGGAGTGAAAGAAATGCTTCAGCAGTGATGCACTATTTGTTATATTGGATTTTTTCTAAAGACTATCTGATGTCATTCACTGCCAACACATTATGCATACTGCAGTGTGTTTATACAGAAGTACAGTGTGTGTTCAGTTGGTGATAGGATTGGTCCGTGTGTACAGTACAGTTATGATAGCACTATAACTCTGCTTCTGTGACACCTCAATCAAAGGAGAAAGAGACATTTCATTATTGAAGGAGTCAGGGCAGAATTAGGACTCATGTTACACCCTGCTTTCAAAATAAAGTTATAAATAAAGAATAAAGTTGTAGAAAGACACAGGTAAGGAGAAGGCTACAAAAACATTTCAAAGGCTGGTAAAAGTGATCTGGAGTGTGTCTTGATTTCAAGCTGCATGAAAAATAACGTCAATATTTCAAATGCATGCATATAGAAGAAATGAATATGTGAAGATTTACAGTAATCTTAAAATAGAATAACTTTATACCTCAGATTAATGAGTTTATTATAAAATTAATGATCAGAATTTATCAAATTTTCTCTCAGTATTTTCTGTGCTTTTGAAATCACTGAACAAGTGTCTGTCTCTTTCTCTCTTTGTCTCTAGAATCTGATATAAAGCAAGACATCTCTGAGTGATCTCCTCTGCCCTGGAAATACAGAAGAAATAAGCTCATCCACACATGTCAGGATCCCCTGAATGAGGAAGACACAGTGAAGGAGAACTGTGAGCTGATAACTGAACACGTCTGTGAGATCCAAGCAGAAGTGGAGAAGCTGAAACCAACACTGTACAAGCTGAAAACATGACTGCTCCTGAGAATAAACGAGCCTCGGCTATCGCTCATACTGTCTTTGCTGCTGCAGCCGTTCTCTCCACTATTTCGGTTATTGCACAAATTAAAAAAGGAGCCTTTCTGACAGACCTGAAAAGGCACTATAGAGAAGAATCCATATGTGCGGGTGCAGCGGTTGTGATTTTTGTGCTTTTCTTTGTGATTGATTTGATTGTTCAGGTAATTATAGCACGGATTGGCCATGATAAGGTGGACAACGCTGTGAGAGAGGTCAAAAACCATTTTGATGAGTACAAAGCAGCATATGACAAATGTCAGGAGAACAGTGTGATAAAACAACTGAAGAATGAGGCATAAGAAGAAAAAGACGAGTGATAGATCGATTGAATGTTTTTGTTATACATTTTAAAAAGTATACAAGAAGATGAACAGTAAACAGTGTGTCCTGTATCCTACACTGATCATGTGTCTCTATCTGATGTGTTCAGACCATCAATAAATCAAGTGTATTCAGATGTGTGGTGTTGTTAAATGGTGTCTACACGTCTCTCTGAACTTGCCTGAAATAAATGACTCATCATTATTTGTGTTAATGTGTTGATAAATGAAAATGTTTTCCTCTTGACTATAACAGAATCCTCCTTTAGCATGTCTCTCTCTATTCACTGGCTGCTGCACAGAACCACTGATCAGGTGTGCTCAGACTCTCCCGATACTATACCTGCACAAATACTTCAGCATAACCAGCAGACCCAACAGGCTTTTTGTGAATCCGTGCTGGAATATGTTTGAGAATCCGCTAATATGCGCAATGGTATACAGCTAACTGCAGTGTGTGAAGCGAACGCTACAGGGCGGTATGATGTCAGAGACAACTTCTGTTCCTTTTCACATCTCTACTGAATGCTTACCTCTGTGATGGAGGGCTTTTCTGGAGTGGTCAGTTTGCTAAGAACAGCATCAGACTTTGGGGGCGAAACAGGGTTTGAGTGTGGCGAAGGACAGTTCTAGAAATCAGGTAAATAAAAGCAGTGTGAAACATGGTAAAAGCACACAGCTGAGATGCATCTTTCTCTTTGTCTAAATGCCAAATCATACACTCTGTCCTCAATAAGAATAAGGTCATTAGTGAGCTTCTTTTTTATTGCTTAAGCACACTTGCTGTATAACACTAGATAAACTTAGAGAACTACTAGTTGATTAAGAGAACACTATGAATGATGGCAGTATGGAACTACCAGTGGTTTGAGTATACTCGCAGTAGATGGCAGTGCAAAGTCAGCATCATTTTCGATTATGGAAATCACAAAGAAATTATTTGCTAGACGTGCTGCAGACTACATTTAGCCAAACAATGATGATTACCGAAAGACTTTACCCCCCATTAAAAAATACTATGGTAATTCATAGTGTTTTTAACCCATATTATAGTAAACTGTATTATACTGCAGTATTACAGTATTTCGTTTTCTCCTAAATCACAGCATTAATGTACAGACGAGAAGTAAACAAAAAGAATGATAAACAACTTTTATTAAATATTCTCATTAGTAATACTTTATGTATTTAGTACAACTCTTTGTTATTAAATAGCATACTGTAACTATCATGATTCATGTCATAATTATCTCTTATCAATATTAAATGTATAATATGTTATATTTATATAAACTATTTGTTTTATTTTGGCTAGAATAACAGCAGTTTTTAATAGTGTTAAAGTCATGTTAAGCTCAATATTATTCACCCCTTCAGCAATATTAGTGTTGGATTGTCTCCAGAACAAACCACTGTTATACAATGACTTGCCTAATTACCCTAACTTTACCCTAATTACCCTAGTGAAGCCTTTACATGTCACTGTAAGCTGAACACTAGTGTCTTGAAGAATATCTAGTCTCGTTGCTCAATACTGGCTAATGACAGGCATAAGCCGAACACAGAGGATGTAAATGTAATAAACAGTAAACAGATTTTTCTCTCTGTTTTCTCTCCGCAGTTTCACTTGTCCTGATCTAATCAGCAGAACAGCAGCTCTCAGACGTCTGATTAATCACAGACACTCAGTAAAGTCTCCACCTGAGCTTTACATTCATTCACTCATTCACCTACAACAGGAGCAGCAGCACATCCCCACATCTCCTTAACCATATATTATCAGTGTTAATGTGTGTTTCATTCCCACAAGACAGAAACTGGAGGATCGGATCTGTTCAAGCTCTCTGTGATCAGCCGAACCTCAAGAAGTGAGTATGATCTGAAGAGCATCTTGAATGAATTGTGATGTGTATTTGCTGGAATCACAGTAAAGTTAGCATCGTCTGACTGATATCCACTGCAACTGCCTTTACAAAAATACTTTTAATTATTATTTTTTGTAGATAAACTTCTATATTTCTAATTAGAAAATTAAATGAATCCAAAAAACAAAAAAGACTAAATATTGCTGGAAGATGTTGAAGAACAAGCCTAAGCCTGAACACAAGTGCAGGACAGCTATACCACTGCATTGGCATGATAGACTACAGCAGCACATGTGCAGACTGAGTTTACTTGTGTTTACTGCATCTTATACTGCTGTTGAACTTTATTGTACTGTATCTGAACTGTGTTTATTCTTCACTGTGTTGCAGTTTTGCAATTGTACTTTATTACTGCAGTCACACTTCTATATACTGCTGTTGTCCTGCAGCTTTACTTTAGTTTACTGCAGTTATTTTTGTAAGGGTGCACTAGTAATACAGTAATAAATAAGACAAAACATTTTTTCATGTTTTAAATAAAGAATGGACAGGAAAATCATTTATTTTAATATTATTTATTCACTGTAAAAATGCAGGGTTCCACACACTTCATTCACATTGTCCCTACACAAACTGATTGAGTTAACTTAACACTTTTAACACATTTATGTGGATCAAACAAAAAAAGTTATCCCATTGAAATCTCAAGAATTATGTTGTTCCAGCTCGTTTTAATTAAGTTGTTTGAACAAGTTAAAAGTTGTGCGCATTTTTAATGCACATCTTCATATTCACTTTCATATTTTTGCGATAATAAAATAATAAAGAATAGTGGATGGAAAATCAGAGCTGCTGAAACGACATCATCAGGACAGCTCAGCGGCGCGCGCATCCGAGCACGAGCCTCATGCGCGCACTCGTCTGTTTCTCGGGAGCGGCCTGTGCTGTGCTGTCAGATGAGCGCACTCTGATCAGTGGACGGTGGAGTATCGGTCATCAGTCGCGGTCATCTGTCCGGTGTGTGTCGCAGCAGTGGACTGAGCTTCTCTGTAAGACTCCAGCTGTCAATCAATCACCTCCGCTTCTGCTTTTACTTTATCTGACGCGCGCGTAGCCGACCACTGACGCACGCGTTCGCGACTGCACTTTCGCTTTCAGGAAGTTCTGCATTTAGACTCGAAAAATATTATAATAAACAACATAATTACCCAGACATAACGTCTCTTAATGCATCGCTGACCGAGACGCGCGGCTGTGTCGTCAGTTTGTGTCGTGCGGGTTTATTTACAGCAGCAAACCGCGGCTAAACAAGGCGATGAATGAAGGGTTGGAGAGCTCTTTAAAATGACTCTACAAAGTTACAAGTAATACAAAGATTACTGCCCTAGACTTAAATGTATTATATAGTTCTTTTATGTGTTTATTATCATTATTAATGCGGGTTTTCAGTGTTTTTGCGTTTTTATTGGGAATATTCACGCAGAAAGGAACAATTACTCTTGCTCAAGTGGCTATAAACCTTTACCAGTCTCTTTCTTCTGAACACTATAGAAGATGTTTTAAAGAATGTTGAAAACCTGAACCATTGACTTCCATAGTAGAAAAAACTAATAGTATAAAGTGAATGCTCCCAGGTTTCCAGCTTTCTATACAGAATACACTGTGAAAATACATGTTAATGGTTGTATTGATTATATTGAGTTGTGAACTGCATTATGGGATGTTGATCTCTGCTCTGTCCACTTCTGATGTTGAAAATTCAACTCTACAGTTTAACAAAAGGACTTTTACTGATGTTTAAAGATTCTGAAATAATACTATAATGTATAATGAATAATCTGTAGAGGAATAGGTGTGGACAATAGCAGTACATGTGCTGCAGTTTATTACAGGGTGTCTGTAGAGTAATATTCAACACTAACACACACTATACAGCGCTGTACACTATTACACACATGCTGAACACACACTCTTACACACTTATCAAGGTTAAAAATGGCTGGAAGAAACATCAAGATCCCATAATGACATTCAACAGCAATAAACTGGGAAAAAGAAAACATGAATATCAGAATATGGAAATCTGCTAATGTATGGATATTCTACAGTGCATCCTCCTTTATGTTCAACAGGAGAAAGAAACGCATGTGCTTTACAGTAAATGCTGAGTAAATGTTCATTTGTGTGTGAACTGTGCCTATAATCAAGCACTGGTGATCATAGTGTGTGTGTGTGTGTGTGTGTGTGTGTGTGTGTGTGTGTACTGACTGTGGTGTGTGTAGAGCCTCAGGATGTCCAGTCGTGGAGGGAAGAAGAAGGTCAGTAGGGGCTCTCGCTCGGCCCGTGCTGGAGTGATCTTCCCCGTGGGCCGCATGCTGCGCTTCTTCAGGAGAGGCCTTCCCAAATACAGGATCAGTGTGGGCGCTCCGGTCTACATGGCTGCGGTGCTGGAGTACCTGACTGGTAAGAGACACACACACACACACACAGATGCACACTCTCACACGTGCACACAAACAGAAACGGATCTTTACCAATGGATTCAAAATGTAATTTAAACTAATTATAATTGAACACAAGAAAACATAATAATTAAAAGTCAATTACAGTAAATCAATAACAGTAACTACAGTAAATATTGCTGTGCTTTTGGACCGTACTGTAGTAAAGTGTATCATAATGTTTGATAATGAATGCTGCATCAAACTGTAGTATTAACTATAGTGAACTAATAAATACAGTAAACGGTGGTGTATTGGAGTGTAATATACACTGTAGTTGTAGAAGACTGCAGCACTGGCTCATTTGTTCATATCAATGTAGTGTTGTGTCCCCATAGCAGGCTGTTGGCTGTGTTTTCCAGCACTCTTCAGTGTATTTTCCTTTGTGTTCAGCAGAAGAAAGAAACTCAAACCGGTTTGGAACGAGTGGAGGATTAGCAAATGATGACAGAATTGACATGGTTGAGTGAACTGTCTCTTTAGGGCTCCTAAAGCCACCGCATCAGGTTGGGTCACTTTCTCAGGCTGATGAAGCTGAATCGGTGTGTGCTTTCGCATATGTCAGAGAAGTCCTGCACTGTGACCTGCTGATCCTCCGCGTCTGTCTGTGTGACCGGTGTGATCTGCTCTTTATGGTGTATAACTCATCATCACCGCATGAGAATCTCTGTATTTGTGGCTCTTTCAGCTGAAATCCTGGAGCTGGCGGGAAACGCAGCCAGAGACAACAAGAAGGGCCGCGTCACACCCAGACACATTCTACTAGCCATCGCCAATGATGAGGAGCTTCACCAGGTACACAATCATCTCATTCACAGAGGGAAACAACCTCATCTACACTGGATCCACAAGCCAGACATTTAACACTAGAACCACCAGGGGTCACTCTATACCTAAACACCATCATGCGGGTCAATTTCACCCACACACATCAATAGTGTTTTAATGTGGCTAAAGAGCATGCTATATCACTGCATTATGATGTCACTGTCCTCACTAAATATATGATATATATATATATATATTTTTTTTTTGCCCTTTTTTTTTTGCCCTTTTTTGTTTTCAAAATGTCCAATATAAGATAAACAAGCCTGCACTGATAACTAGAAGAATTAAAGGAAGTAAATATATATTGGGTGGGCTAATATGATTTGCCAGAGTGCATGTGTGATGCAATAACAGATCTAAGCGTACAGCCTTAACTATCTAATGATTAATTTGCTTAGTTCTATCATTTATAATTTGAATAAGAAAACAACACCAAGAAACTTAAGGTAATCAAAGAATGGTTTTATTAGCTACATCATAGATCAGACTTGATTATTTTTCTTTTCTGGAAGTGGCAGCCTAGAATAAAACGCCACACAGTAGCGACCAAAAATGGAAAATATCCAAAGTTTGATCTTATTCTTACTGAGGTTTTCCTCTTCAGATGTCTGTGTTTGTGTGTGCAGTTGCTGCGGGGCGTCACCATCTCCGCTGGGGGGGTTCTACCCAACATCCACCCAGAGCTGCTGGCCAAGAAGAGGGAGAGCCGAGGGAAGCTGGAGGCCGCCGTCACTGCTCCACCATCCAGGAAAACTAGCAAAACAGCCGCTGTCAGGAAACTGCACAGCCAGAAGCCCTCTACAGGAAAGGTGCCCACTGAACCACTGCTACTGACTAGTGCTAACCCGTCACCAGGAAACCCAAATCAGATGTGGGGAGGGGAGTAGGTTGTTAGGGGTGAGGTGTTTGAATAACACTGGGTTAGTAACTGTACTGTGGTGTTAGTAAGCTAAGTGTACTATGGACTGGGTTTCGGGTGGCCGCTGCGATCGGATGCTATACCAAAGTTGGCGACCTCTGCCTGATGGGGACAGTACTGTATGATGCTGATATATCTGCTGTGTTTCTGACAGAGGCAGTCTGCTAAAGCGTCCGGTGGACAGAGCGCTTCTGCCGGAGGATTCACCGTCCTCTCCTCCAAAAGCTTATTCCTGGGCCAGAAGGTACAGTAGAGCTGCCTGTATTACACTGCTCTCAGATCAGCTGCTCTCCTCCTGAAATACCTCCTGCTTAAACTTGTGTAATATCTCGAGCTGTTAGAGGTGTAATCATCTACATGTTTATTAATGACAAACCTCACTGATGCTCAGCAGTCTTGAAATGTGATTCAACGAGTCGTCAAGCAGTGCTGGAGAAGTTAATTGTAATTAGATGTGTGTTAAGCGTACGTCATCATTGATGGCTTCTCAAACAAGGTAAGATAGCGAGAGATGATTAGTGCATGAATACTGAATCTATTTAAATCTACTTGAAAGCGTGAATACTTCAGAATCAAGACTTAACTTATGAAAGATGTTTGGATTGAGATTTTTTCTGACCTCAGCTCTCATTTAAAGATCATTAAAACTGTTTATTTCAACACACAATAGTCTTCATTTCCAAACCTGTTTGAGTTTATTTCTTCTGATGAACACCACAGATAAGATATTGTGAATAATGCTGTAAACCTGTAACCATTGACCTCCACTGTATTTGTTTCTCCTACTATGGAAGCCAATAGTTCAGGTTTGCAGCTTTTTTCTAAATATCTTCTGTTGGTGTTCAGCAGAAAAAAGAAACTCATCAAGTGTTTGGAAACACTTCAGGGTGAGTAAATAGTGAGTAAATCTTTATTTTTGGGTGAACTAACCCTTTAAATATGACAGACCTGTGGGGGATGAGATGATTGACAGGTGTCGTAACTAAGCAACAGTGCGGTGCGTTAATAAGGAAGCAGATTGTCCCAAACCTCTTCTGTTCCACACTCATAAGTGTGCACCCTGCTGTACCCTGCTGAACTCAATGACAGTGAAATCTCTAACCTGGTTAACCCTTGAGCTGATCAGCTTATATGAGCTGACTTTAACCTTACAGTCGCTGTAGGTGTGAGCGCTGTGTAGATATAATATAAATGACATAAATGATTCTCTTCTGTCTGGTTGTAGATGAAATATTCACACCGTTTTAGGGATAGAAAAATGAATATTGGGTCATTAATGACTGTCCATCATGTTCTCTGCTTCTCTAATGATGTCCTTGATCCTCTGAAGAGCCTCCATTGAAGCATCATTACATCAGCAGCCGTGTCTCCAGCAGCTCAACCTTCATTTATAATGTGACCGTAATGCTTTTGTGTGTCAAAAATGAGAGATTTGAAGTCAAATATCTGCATCCAGATCAGCATCAGCTGAAGTCTTGAGCTCCCTGAGTTTGACGTCATCCACACGTGACACTTTCACTATCCTGCAATCTGTAAACAATCTGTAGCAGCAATTCTGCACACAGCGAGTGTCAATAATGAAACCAGGAAGAGAAAACAGTTCTGACATTTCCCTGCGGTCGTTTTAATTCTCGCATGGGTTGCATCATCAGATTCTCGCTCCTATTGGCTCTTGGATTGACGCTCATCACAGCTAATGATGAAGGAAAGTGTCTGAAATCTTCTAACATAGCCAGAACATCATCTGAGGGAAAATCTGATCACAACATGCACCAAGCGACTGTCAGCCAATGATCAAAGATCAACAATTTTAGCCCAGGATTTCAGGACTCTTTGAGGATTTCCCAATATTGTCTCAGATGACAGAATCGTGGCTGCAGTCTGACAGATAACGATATCTGTGTCCAAACCAGCAAAAGATAAACAGCGGTTTGTTTTGAGTGTCTGCTTTTCTCCCTGCATTGCTCTCCTGTAACCAGCAGGTGTCCTCAGTATAAGGTTGCTAATGCATCCGACCAGTGAATCCAGCTCGTGTAGTCCGTCTTATCAAACAGTGGATTTAGCGATCACAGTCAGTGTAGTGGAATAAAAACAACACTAATGATCTTCTCCAGCATTTTCCAAAGAGGAAAATCAGAAACTATATTTAATTCAGTTCATCTTTATTTCTCTAGCGCTTTTACAGTGTAGACTGTGTCAAAGCAGCTTCACATAGAAGATTATAGTGAACTGAAGCTGTGTCAGTCCAGTGTTCAGAGCTGAAGTTCAGTTCAGTTCAGTTCAGTTCAGTTCAGTGTGGTTTAATCTTCACTTATGAGGGTCCAAACACTGAAGAGCAAATCCACCATGCAGAAACACAAGTCCCGAACTATAAAAGCCAGTGGCGACAGCGAAGTAACAAACTTCACCAACTGACCAAAATGTAGGAGAGAAACCAGGAGAGAAACCAGGCCCAAACTATACTGGATGCCTGCGGTTCTCTAAGTGTTAAGCTTCAGAACTCTGCTGGTGTTTTACATTCAGAATGAGTTTTAGGATAATGTGTGTCATGCACTAACCATTCCTACACACAGATCTATGTGTGACATGTGCGTGTGACATTTTCAGGAATAAACCTTCTTTCTTTCTAAAATATGACCTAACATTTGTGGAAAAATCAATAACAGCTGATACCAACTCTCTCTCTCTCTCTCTCTCTCTCTCTCTCTCTCTCTCTCTCTCTCTCTCTCTCTCTCTCTCTCTCTCTCTCTTTCTCTCTCTCTCTCTCTCTCTCTCTCTCTCTCTCTTTCTCTCTCTCTCTCTCTCTCTCTCTCTCTCTCTCTCTCTCTGTCTCTCTCTCTCTCTCTCTCTCTCTCTCTCTCTCTCTCTCTCTCTCTCTCTCTCTCTCTCTCTCTCTCTCTCTCTGTTGTGTAGCTGCAGGTTGTTCAGGCTGATATCGCCAGCATAGAGAGTGAAGCGGTGGTTCATCCCACCAACTCCAGCTTCTACATGGGTGGGGAAGTAGGTAAAGTAGCCGCCGCCTCCACACACATCACCACAGTCAAACTGAAGGAGATTATTCAGTGTGCTAGTGCTAGTGCTAGCCTTGTTTCTAGAGCAGATATCTAAAGAGCTCCTGACAATCACAAACGACTGCTTGTGTGTTTTATGCATATACAGTGTATTCTGTCAGATGGCAATTCAGTCTGACCAATCAGAGCACAGTATGGCCATCTGGCTAGTCAAAACAGAGTATGGCCATGTGACCATTCAGAGCAGAGTATTTGACTAATTAAATTCCATTTCACCAGTCAGTGTGTGTGTGTGTGTGTGTGTGTGTGTGTGTGTGTGTGTGTGTGTGTGTGTGTGTGTGTGTGTGTGTGTCGTAGGCAGCGCTCTGGAGAAGATCGGAGGAAAAGAGCTGTCAGACGCTGTTCTGGAGCTGCGCAAGAGCAACGGCCCCCTGGAGGTGGCAGGAGGTACTGACGCTCCTCACTGACGACACGTTCACATTACAGCATATATTCATTCTCAGCTATGAGTCAGTGTGTGGGATTATTAGAGCTGCTCTGTAATACTCCAGCAGAACAGGCGTGGCCGTCTACACGTTCTACTCTTCAACTCAGACTGTGCGTGTCCACCGAAGGGTTTGTGTGCTGCAGATTGGCGAGCTGAGCGCTGTAGTGTAGTCTGGCTCTGAGTTTCAGATCTCCTAAAGAGCTCTCGCTGAGGGTGTGTGTGTGTTTGGGCTGCTCAGCTGTAAGCACTCAATGTAAACACACACTCAGAGTAAACTAACACTTCGGTGGACACACACACTCACTGACACACTTCTTGTGCAGTTTTTTCCTGTCACAAACCGACTAATGAAAACGTAGCCGACCGAGCCTGTCCTGGTGGACTAGTCGATGATTAGGGGACAGCCTCAGTGTGTATATACTGTGTGTGTGTGATCTGTGTTTACCCGTGTCTTACTGTAGCCGCCATCAGCTCCGGGTTTGGTCTTCCGGCAAAGTTCGTGATCCACTGCAACAGTCCGGCGTGGGGCTCAGACCAGTGTGAGGAGATGCTGGAGAAAACCGTCAAGAACTGCCTGGCTCTGGCGGACGAGCAGAAGCTGCGGTCGGTGGCGTTCCCCTCCATCGGCAGCGGCAGGTACAGATACAGCCACATAAACACAGGACGCAGGGGGATTAGGTCAAGTAGGATGAGATGCTGGACTGACGTTTATGATGATCCTGGAACATCACTCCTGTTTGAAGATGTCCAGAACAGCTGATAGGCTTCCTACTCTTAAACCTAACCCTAACTGTTAATTATAGTCAATAACAGGGGCTTAATAGACACACAACAATAATGTAGAAGCACATCATACTGTCTCTAAACTTTACATTTACTGTAAATTTAATCCTTAAAAGGGATTGGCTGTGCACAAAGACTGTCAAAAGCATGAATAAGAGTTCCTATTTCTCAAATCATACACACCATCAGGGGGCGCTATTCTATGGTCACCAATGGAAACTATGACCTGGTGGTCATGTCTGGTACTGCACCCTAACACAGTCTTACCTAATGCTCATTTTTTGAGAGATCAACTTCATCTTGGAGATATGCAGATTCAGATATTTAGCTTTTCTGTTAATTTAAACAGATTATATAAAATACATATTGTATGAAATATATTATAATATACATTTATTGATTTATTATTTTCATAAACTTAAAGGCACAAAACTTTTTCACATGTCCTCTGTTGTCTTTAAAATGAAAGCATGATTAAATCTGTGCACTGAAGTGTTGAAGATCGTCAGTCATTTAAGCTGAACACGTCATTTTCATGTCTATCTTCAAATAGCAGAGCCGACAGTTCAGGGGTTAAACTGTGTTTTAATGCTGCAAACAAATAAAAATAATTCTATAACCTAGTTATTAAGATTGATGAGATGTGTGTAAATGTGAGCAGACACATATGAGCATTCAATATAAAAACACTGCAAACAATTGTTTTCTTATTTAGATTTTTTGCTCTGCTTTGTCCAGATATATTTTAAATCAAGATGCATGTTGTAGAGCACAGGTGTCAAACTCAGTTCCTGGAGGGCCGCAGCTCTGCACAATTGAGTTCCAACCCTAATTAAACACACCTGATCAAACTAATTGAGTCGTTCAGGCTTGTTTGAAACCTACAGGTACGTGTGTTGAAGCAGGGTTGGAACTAAACTGTGCAGGGCTTCAGCCCTCCAGGAATTGAGTTTGACACCCCTGGACTAGACTCAAGTTTTCAGAAATAATGAGTCAACAAGAAGTGAGATTTTCCTTAAAACAAGCAAAATATTCTTGTTTTCACTATAAAATAATATTATTCAGCTTGTTTTAAGAACAAACTCACTTCATTTTGACTCATTATTTCTGAAAACGAGACTATGTTGTGCTTGTTTATGAAATGCTTCTCGATTGAAGACGTTTCAGATATCTGGACTAGAAACAAGACAAAAACTCAAAGCAAGAAAAGCATGTTTCAGGATGTGCAAACATGAGCCTCCTGTATTAAACACACTTCACATCAGACCAGAGCGTTCACATTTTAGGCATTTTAGACTCACACTGAGCTTCATTCTCTGGTTGTGTGTGTTTTCCAGGAACGGCTTCCCGAAGCAGAAGGCCGCTCAGCTCATCCTGAAGGCCATCTCCAGCTACTTCGTGACCACCATGTCCTCCTCCATCAAGACGGTGTACTTCGTGCTGTTTGACAACGAGAGCATCGGGATATACGTGCAGGAGATGGCCAAACTCGACAGCAAATGAGACTCTGGTGAAGGAAAACAGATGATTCACGGTTAGAGATGAGGGTCTTCTGGACTGCACTACACTTGATGAATGAATATGAGATATGCTTATGATGTATAAGGGAAGTTCAGGGATAAACACATCCAACATGATTAAATATGCACTGAAAATGGAGGCAGTTAAAGCGGTATTTCACCAAAACATGATCATTTACTGTCTGTTTACTCTCCCTCGAGTGGATTTAAACCTTTATGAGTTTCTGTCTTCCGTTGAACTCTAAAGAAGATATTTAGAAGAATGTTAGAAAGTCATTGACTTCTAGAAAAACAAATACTGTGGCAGTCAACGGTTACATGTTGGGAACATTTTTCCGGGGCTGCAACAACGAATTGATTAAATCAATAAAAATCAATTACTGAAAGCGTTGGCAATGAATTTCATGATCGATTTGTAGTGTCGTGCGACACGGATTTTTGATTATTAACTAAACACTAGATGAGTGCGGAGCGGAGTGAACTATGTCTTGTCTCTCTCACGCACTGATGCAGAGTTCAGCGCCTCACAGACAGGGATGACCAAAATGTTTTGAAGTGAGGACAGTAAAGTCCCTGGTGCTGCAGTTTACTTATAGCTTGACAAGCATGTCAAGTTAACGTTAGCTTGTTTACCCTTAGAGCGGCAACTGAATAAGTCAAACTGAGCTTTGGTACGTTGGCTGACGCTGAGCCAGAGAAAGACACATCAAATCATCACAGTTATGCAGTGTTTTAACCACCCAATGCTTATTTTATGTTTTAGACATGTAAATACACACAGGCACTAGTGAAACAGCACATGCAGAGTGACAGTGGAATCTATTCTTCTGTAAGTTCACCAGACACTCGCATGTATTTGGGGAGTAACTGGTGAATTTAGTGCTGAATCCTGCTGTTCTGCTTTTATGAATGAGGCAAATGAGCGGCTGCAAGTAAACATGGCCATGCCCATCTAACATTATTATCACGATCACTTACTCACTTAATCTGCAAGTGATGCTTAAAACCTCTTTCCGAGATTACATCTCATTAAGATTATTTTTCTGACCCCATAAGCGAATAATTTAGCTTGTTTTAAGTAAATAATCACTTAATTTTAGCTGTTTTTTCGCAGAAAACAAAACATAATTTCTAATGCTATTTCAAGTGTGTGTTGTGTATGCTGATGTAAGATTTTTTATTTGGATTGAAAACAGGACAAAACTAAGTTAGTTTTTATTTTATTAATATTATTATTATTATAACAGCTCAGGGATGAGCTTTATTGAATAAATTCATTTTTTTAAAATGATTTTCAGTTTTTTTTTGTCATTCGATTCATCAATAAATCAAATAAATAATCGACAGATTAATTGATTATTAAAATAATCGTCAGTTGCAGCCCTACATTTTTCAGAATATCTTCTTTTTTGAGTAAAAAAGCTTTGAGAAGAGGACAGAATTTGCAATATTAGGTGAGCTGTCCCTTTAAGGGATTCATCTAAGCACACTGGAAAACAGATGTAAGTGGAGTTAAATGGTTCTGAACGGGCTGAATTTAAACAACCAGATTGAGTTGAACATTACTAACGTTAATTTGTTTGGTTAAATTCAACTCAAACAACTTAATTTATCAGAACTCCTTTGTTCAGAGTGTGAAATATGGGTGAAATGATGAGATCAACGGGATATTTTTGGTACTTTATGATGACAGCAGCTGTTGTTTACTTGTGAACGGGGTTGGGTTTATGTTTGTTATATTGCTGCATAATTTAATCTCTTATTTCTTCTGTTCTGTCAGTGTATCGCCAATGTTAATATGCAAATGATGTGCCTGAAATAACTAATTTATAAACAAACATTAATCAGGAACTGTGTGACTTGTGTAATTTCTGACTACCGCCAGCAGATGGAGATGCTGTTCAATACACACTTCACACAAACACTCATACACACTCATTCACACACACACTCATACACTAGTGCCAGTGTAGTTGATCAGTTCCCCTATAGCGCATGTGTTTGGACTGTGGGGGAAACCGGAGCACCCGGAGGAAACCCACACCAACACGGGGAGAACATGCAAACTCCACACAGAAAAACCCACTGACCCAGCCGAGACTCAAACCTGTGACCTTTTTGTTGTGAGGCGACAGTGCTGACCACTGCTCCACCATGACACCCTGTTTTGAGAAATAATGAGTGAAATTGAAGTGAGTTTTTCCTTAAAACAAGCAAAATAATCTGAGATTGGGGGAAGAGTACAGAATTACTTTAAGGTGAAGGCAGGATTATTCCTCTTCCCCATCGTCAGAGTATTCTGCTTGTTTTAATGAGAAACTCTCTTCATTTGACTCATTATTTCTGAACACTATATGTTTATCTTGTGCAGAAATTGCTTCGTGATTTCAGTATGTTCAGATATCTGCACTGGAAACAGGACAGAAACTCGATCATTGTTTGGGTGTACAGGACAGATAAAGCGTAGAGAAGCTCCTTTGCATCTTCATCTGCGGTGTTGATCTTCAGATCTCCTCAGTTTATTCTCCTCTGATCCTGGGGTTCTGCTGGTCAGCGGCAGGTCAGTTTCCCAGCGGATCTGCATCAGACCTCCTCCAGGGGCACATCTGAGCTCTAATCCTCAGGAAATACGGCCGCTCGGCTCCGCTCTCCACTGCAGGGAAATCTCCCAAACTCAAAGCATCTGTAGGCCGTCCTGCTTTCCCAGAGCTCAGCCATGCTATTTTCCTCCTCGCATGTAAAGCGTAAGCCCAGCGGGGGCAACGTGAAATTAAAACAAACATCGGTGGGATCAGCCCGGGTAAATACGCAGTCATCAAAGATGGCGCTGGTGTACATGAAAGCGGCGTAATATATCCGCCATTCTGCAGCCGATCTGTTTAATCACCGCTCATGTGCAGAGAGTCAGCGCAATATGCTTAAAGCCAACATGAAGACGGCAAATCCTCATGTGGAATGAGTTCACTTCTGAAAACGCTTTGCTTATTTAGGGCTCCTTCAGTGTTAAAGTTCAGATATGAGGCTGTGTTCATGAAAGCAGCGGCTTTATACAGACATCAACACCTGCAGATGGAGTTTAGAGAACTCTGATGATAATTATACAGTCTGCATAGCACTGAATATACCTACAATAACCTTTATTTAACCAGGTAAGTCAACTGAGAACCAGTTCTCACTTACAATGATGACCTGGCAACAAAGCAGATCCAGTATAAAGCAGCAGAGACGCGATACAATAACAGACGCACAAAAGCAGATAACAACATATAAAACCAAGGAAGAATTCAACACAAGCACAGGGATCTGATACTGATGATTCAATTAATCTTTATTTCTCTAACGCTTTTACAGTGTAGACTGTGCCAAAGCAGCTTCACATAGAGGATTATAGTGAACTGAAGCTGTGTCAGTCGTGTTCAGAGCTGAAGATCAGTTCAGTTCAGTTCAGTTCAGTTCAGTTCAGTTCAGTTCAGTTCAGTGTGCTTTAATCTTCACTGCTGAGAGTCCAAACACTGAAGAGCAAATCCACCATGCAGAAACACAAGACCCAAACCAAGCAGGACAGTGGAGGAACAAACTTCACCAACTGACCAAAGTGTAGGAGATAAACCAGGAGAGAAAAGCCACTATAATAATGACTGGATGGACTTTTAAAGATGATAGAGGAATGAAAGTGTTGAGCTTCAGGGTCTGCTGTAGATGATTCCAGGCATCAGCAGCAGAAAACTAAGAAGAGGAGCGACCAAATGAAGTGCAAGTTTGGATATACAAAGGTTAATAAAACTACTAGTACTACTAGATTTCGACATGTTTCCTGAATGCTAAGATGTGAATATAGTGGAGTTTTCCCAATAAGAGTTTGATAAATGAACAGAAACCAGTGAGTTTGTGGACGTGATTGAAGAGAAGGCCAGTTCAATACAGCTGACAGTGCTGAGCATTAAACAGCGCAGCAGCTAAACCCCACTGCAGCATGCTCAATAACATCCACTGTGTGAAGAAGAGTGTTTGAAGCTGATCTGTAAATTAAATCTCCATAATCCAGAGTTGGTAATACTGTTCATTTGACCAAATGCTGCTTTGAAGAGTGCCTAAAGGAAGATTTGTGTCTATAAAGAAAACCAATCCGGGCGTTATATACAGAGAACAGAGAGGACCAAACACTGAACCTCGTGGAGCACCAGCGACGATTAGCTGATATTCATACATTCATTTTCTTTTCAGCTTAGTCCCTTTATTAATCAAGGGCTGCCACAGAGGAATGAACCGCCAACTTATCCAGCTAATGTTTCACACAGCGGATGCCCTTCCAACTGCAACCCATCACTTGGAAACATCCATACACATTCACCCTCTTACACTACGGACAATTTGTCTTACCCAATCCCACTATAGCGCATGTGTTTGGACTGTGGGGGAAACCGGAGCACCCAGAGGAAACCCACACCAACACGGGGAGAACATGCTAACTCCACACAGAAACACCAACTGACCCAGCCAAGACTCAAACCAGTGACCTTCTTGCTGTGATCGTGTGTTAAGAACCAGTTCTTCTTGCTGTGATCGTGTGTTAAGAACCAGTTCTTCTTGCTGTGAGGTGAACGTGCTACCCACTGCGCCACCGTGCAGCCCTGCTGATATTAATATCAGATGATAATATATTAATATCATATTCTTAATGATAATAAGAGTGTGGCGACATAAAAACACACACTGTTTACTAAAATAGCTCATGTTCACATTGGCCACACAAGAAAAACACTTCATTAATGTCCTGCATACTGTCACCTCACTGCACAAACTATTGAATACGAGAAATGAATGAATATATTAAATATTAATATTTAATATTATAAATTATCACTATTATTTTGAGGATCAGTAGACTGTTATATTATTAATAACACAATCTGCATAGCAGTGGAAGGAGATAAATGGAGAACAGAGGAGGACCAAACACTGACCCCTGAGGAACACCGGGGATGATTAGCTGCTATAGTCAGGACAGAGACTCAGAAACACACACAGTTTCCTAAATGCTCATGTTCTGGGGTGATGTTCTGCGGTTTCTCCTCTCTATCACTATATGTTGTGGATTCCAGAGCTCTGTGGTCAGCAGACAGCGGTTCTCCATGCCTGCGATGCTTCACTCAGACAGTGCGCAGTGGACCTTCACCCCTGGCTCTAAATGGCCTGTCCTGTGTGTTTTTATGGGTCTGTGAGGGTCTGGAGGTCTCCGAGTGCTCCGGGTTAATCTCCAGCCAGATCAAAGGGTCATCTCCACTGATAATGCAGCGTTCCCTGATATCTGCTAATGGTTAAACACACGGCGGGATCGCCACGACTCTTCACACGGCACGCCTGAACATGCAAACCACACGCTCCAGGGTGGAGAAGAGCTCAATCAGGACATGATCATGGAGAACAGCTCACTTAACACATGATCACGGTCAGAGTCATACACATGATTTAGGACAAAACCGGCTAGGGTTTGAAGAGTTGAGTGAGTGTTTCATTCTTTCCACACCAGATTTTGTCATAGATATATACACTAGATATCACATACAGACCCTGAGCATGTGTTAATAGCGCCGCCATATTTGTACAGGGCTCCTAACACAACTGTCACTCAGCCGCACTGGTCAAGACTAAAGCCAGAGTGAAGATGCTGGACTTCAGCGCTGTGTACGGGTGTAGGAACCAGCAAACACAGAAAACAGCACAAAGGCAGAACACTTCACAGGGAAGATGTTTCAGGACACAGATTAGACCAAATGTAACAGAGAGGGGTGATAATACATCTCCATGCACACAAACACACACTCTATATCAGCAGTGCTCATGCGCTCACTGATCCATCACTGTAGAGAAGTGATGTACAACTATAATATTCCTCATTTAAACAAATATTAGCATACTGACCAGCGGGAAACTCCTGATCATACATATATATATGTATGTGTGTGTGTGTGTGTGTGTGTGTGTGTGGGTTTGTGTGTATATCTCTGGCTCTGGATTCATTTCAAAGGAATGTGTTTGCCACCCTGTACCAAAATAGCGGCTCTATTGATGCAGTCCTTCCAGTAGCAACAACAGTGTAGACGACATCTAGTGTAAATATCTATGAGATTTTGTTCATCAGCCAGCGCCAGCATTTCAGGTGATTTTCAACCCTTAGAACATTCCCTGCTGTGAATATATTGAGCATATTATATATCAAAATAACACATACAAACATGTATAACAGAGGTTAGGGAACTAGCACTCGTCAATATCTTGTGATTTGTGTTTTTGTTTTCATTGTTTTCTGCTTCTGAACTGCATTATGGGAGCTGGATCTGTCCTCCAACAACATTTCATGTTGAAAAGATTGAAAAAGTGACTTTCATTGACGTTTATAATAGTTTGGAGTGATGTACAGAGCCTGGATCAGTGTTCACAAACATCTACTGAAGCTTCTACTGTTATTTTACAAAGAAGTAATTCTATATATGAGTCTGCATGTTCTCCCCGTCCTCACACACACACACACACACACACACACACACACACACACACACACACACACACACACACACACACACACACACACACACACACACAAATACGCTACAGCCAATATAGTTAATCCTATTCACCTATAGCGCATGTCTTTGGACTGTAGGGAAATCCCACCCAGAGGAAATCCATGCGAACATGGGGACAATATGCAAACTCCACACAGAAATGTCCGCTGGACCAGCCGCAACTTGAACCAGCAACCGTTTTGCTGTGAGGCGACAGTGCTAATCACTAAGCCACTGTGCTGCCTTGGTTCATTTGGTACAGACCAAAAAAAGAAAATTATATGT